CTTGAATACGCGCAGTTGTTGCAATAAGGAACAAAGCGTATTTACGGTCACATATGCTATATCAAATGTTGCGACGATATTTACTCTAACGACATGAAAAATTGAGATTCCCGGTGAACAACTTCTACCGTGTTCTATGTAGAGTATGATTACCAAGTTCGCTGCGCCCGGTCATGTGACTTTGATCGTTTTACGTGATGGCCAGCATGTGTACCCGCAAATCGCTCAAGCAAAGTATACAGCAGAAAACACAAGCGCTTGGCTGCAATAAAGACCGAGTTCATCGCCTGCGCAGGTTGGTATGATCAGGAGTGAATATAATAGGACTCTATTAGTTTCACTCCTGGAATGATTACATGTGGCGAGGATGGTTGTGTATGCTGCGTTGCTAGACTACTTAAAGCCGACATAGTTGGGACTGGTGGGATAGTTACTGCAATTTACTGCTAATGATATTACTACTAATGATACTAAAGAAATACTACTGTACTTACAGAAATGCACTTGAACATTGACCAACTAAACACCAATTCGTCTTGGTTTCTGATAGCGTCACACAATTTGAACGTTTCCGCTGTGGGATGATGGGGTATTATAAGCTCTTGATATGTTAACGGTCAATTTCCTTCAAATGTTAGAAAATGCTCACGGATTCTGTACAAATGAGATCTCATGATGTAACTAGACTGATATGAATAATATCGCTAAACGGCTAAAGGAAAAGCTGATTTTGATAATGCTACTACTTGATATCTATATATAACACACACTTAGTCCATGATCCATTTAAATAAACTATGAAAGTGATGAATCTAACAAACTGATCATTACAGCATCTTGCATTGTTTCTAAAACAAAATCGTTATATTTTCATAATGCAAAATACATGGTTTACACATAATTCATAACAATTTAAATACGTATGCAAACAACTTGGTGGGTCTCCTTGAAATGTATTCTACATACTTATGTTTTATGAAGTTCCCTGCACCAAGTTTTTTGTTTATTATAAATGCTTCCTGATTTTTGTTAGATTTATAAGACAACGCTAAGCTTTTGTGTAGACATTTTATAGTAATTCCCTATTATTAACGCAAGATAAACAGAAATTTTAAATGGAGGATATTTCATATGTATGGGTCTCAACCATGGTCTCAACTCATAGTACGATAACTTAATGGAATGTTTCCAAAACCGGCGCACTCGCATAACATTCAATAACATAATTTACGCTAGATGGCAGCACTTGACAGTCAAAGCTTTCCAACATCATAAACTGGTCATTTGGAGCAGTTCACACACTTGCTGCATGGTATCAGCTGGACTGGTCACAGAATGACCAATCGTCCTTTCATCCGCGAAAATCTCGTAATCGTTTTCGCCCTGAAATGCAAAAAAAAAGTGTCAAAAATGCTTTTTCTGTGTCTACATCTCACATCCCAATGCTATTGCAGGCAAAATAAGAAGACGGATAGTCCAACAAAGACACTGAATATGGCACCAACACCTTACCATGCATGCTACAGAGGGGCATTAACCAAACATGTTTAACGAACGATTTGCATTACTTTCTACTAGAGACAGTAGCACTGCTTAGAAAAATTGCACATTTACGGTGAATGGTTTTGTCTCCGAAGAAGTGAATCGTTTTGCAAACCATCTTGGAGCACAGTGTCTCAGCAGTAGGTCTCTGTCCCAGCCTTTAGGAAACACGTCAAACTTTAGCTGTCCCCCTGCACAGAAAAACAAAGAGTTAAACAATTACATGTACTGGCTCATCTGATTTAGGAAGGGTCGGTTGTTGCTCCAGGCCACAGCACTAGCCCTCACACTTGCTTCAGCAGGTGATAAAAACGTCTAGCAAACACTTGCTATTGAAGTATGGCAGAGACATTGTTACCTAGGGAAATACTGCAATCCAAAAGTCTGCAATTCTTTTCGTAAGGCCATCACAAATTTTTTCCCTCACTTTTATGTTCCTGGGAGAGAAAGTAGGCTTATCATGGATCAACATCGTCATACAAAGTTGTTCCTAATATCGCCTACATCGTGTTAATAAACGCATACTTTTTCCTGATTTTATTGACTGAGCTCTCAAAAATCACCTTGCCAAATTAACATAGCAAGAGATTAACATACAATTGAATCCCACTGAACAATAAGGTGCAACATACAACAATACAACATCCTAAATGCGGTCTGGAATGTAATTTTTGCTTCCCGATTTGTACAACTATATTTCAATGTCTGGGAAAGTACAATTTTATAACATGACAATTATACCAGGCTAAAGTATTAATTTTCCCATTTTCACAATAAAACATGATGAGCCCACACAAGAAACCTTTTAGATCACATTTTTGCAGTATGGTGTCACCTCCTAGGTATTATCACATTTTATGGACTATGTAAACATTACCTGGTTTATGCGTTGAATTGCTCTCTCTCAGCCTGTGAGCAGCTCCTTCCACTGGACTTACACTTGATTTAGGACCACTTCCTGAATTCTATGAAGGTACCCCTGTGCAAATACTACCATGTCATAAATCATATACTGTGCATATGTCACACGGTATATATGCTTAATACATTATACTCTAATATGCATGTGAGGTTTTACATTTCCATGTGGAATGTATCGGGTGTATCAGTAATGGCGGCTCGGAGACGCACGTACCTTTTCAATGTGGAATGTATCGGTGTATCGGTAATGCTCGGAAGCACGCACGTACCTTTTCAATGTGGAATGTATCGGTGTATCGGTAATGCTCGGAAGCATGCACGTACCTTTTCACGGGCAGTGTCAGGTCCGCCATGTATCGTAGAGAGAAGTTAATGAATCGCTGCAATTTTTCCTCTCCCACTTCATTCTGTATGCTCTATGCAAGACACCCACTGCCTATTAATGATTTATATAATTATAGCGGCGAATGTAATATACAGACTTACAATTTCGCTTAAAGTGATAACGCCACCGTAAATAGTAAAAAATAAAAAAAATATTTCCACTTTTTCACAAAATATAAGTAATTCTGTTCACTTTTTATGGTTAAATTGCTGCATTATACTTCTTATTTTACTATATTGTTCGATGTGAACATACACTCGTGACGCATACATAGCCCATAGCAAGCAATTAATGTCAGGAACACTAATATCAAATCGTCCAGGATTTTTAACTAGTTGAGAAACAATCTTATCAGGTAAGAATTTGACGATACGTTTAGTCCCGTTACTTCTTACTTTTATTGTAAAAAAATGGCAACAAAAATTTTACAAATTTTACCATGTAGAAAATTCGTGACATAGTCAATTTAAACTAGTAAATATAACCATGAAGCATTTCAAGCACTGAACAAAACTCTGAGTTTGAATTTGGCATAACAAACTTTTCTGCATGGCAATAAAGTCAAGGAAACATTAAGCATATATTATATTCTCCGGTAACAAAATTTCTGAGCTGAAAAGGACTTGCGCATCTATTCACAGACGTGGCTGGAACTACTACACATGAGTCATCTATCATCATTGAGCTATGCAGCTTGTTAGGCCAAAAAAAAACAACCTGTGTTTCCGGTTTCCCGACCCTACCTAGTTTTTACACCCGACCCTACAACTTTTTATCCATATTTTTCAAAATAAAATTTAAACTGAAAATCCGATAGAAATTGAGTAAGTTGATCAACCCATACGCACGCTGATGGCCCCGATAGCGTTTATAGCGCATGGGAGACAACTCGCGCAAGCCACGTGAAATACCGCCGTGTCACGCGAGATCGTCGCACGTGTAAACAAGACAATAATGGCTTTCTAACACCGATTACAAAAAAAAAATTGGGAAAAAAAAAGTTTAAGCCTACCTACCCTACCTATTTTTTCCAGCATGAAATCGGAAACACAGGTTGTTTTTTTGGGCCTTATAAGAAATGCACTCAATGAGAACAGTGATGCACTAAGGCTAACATACCTGTTTATGAATGAGCTCTCCATTCTTATGAGCTACTAATCCATTTTCAGAAAACACATACTTGTGCTTGTGCACCACTGAAATACAAAAAGGTATAGATTACTGCCTAGTGCCTTACATATCAGACCTCTGTGTACCGTTAGTAAAAGTTGCTTATTTTTACGTAAGAATAGCCCAGTAGTTTATATATCTGAATTAAACTCCCAACGATCTTCTTACATATGTACACAGTTTAAATGGATTATACAACTAGGACTACTTATAAACCTATTGAAAACACGCCCGCATTATCTTTATGTTTAATTGGCAGCACTGTTATGCTTTCATGACAAACAATGTGGTGGCATTCTTACAGCATCACCAATTCCTCAAAAATTACATCAACAACATGTACAGATGACAGACAATTTTTTGTTTAATGTACTATTAATGACGTTGATAGCTCTAACTAGATATATATTTCAAGAAGAGACGAGTCAACATTCAATATCACTATCGATGAACATTGTGGCTCAACGATAGAGAGCATGTCCAGTAATAAACATCATCCTATCCTATCACCGTCCAGGACATCATCTCTATCCTATTCCTTGAACCAACATTGTTGCTGTTGCCATTCTTGGTCTTACCCCCAATTCCTCTAGGAAATCCCATTTGTTCAGAAATCTTGTGGAGGTCAGAGCCACCAACAAGTCCAATTTCAACCTTTTCTTCAACTTTTTTCAAGAAGTCTTTCATTTCTGGAGTAATTTCCTAAATAATTTTTTTTTTTTAATATACACAGGATAAAGAATTAGTCCTGCTGACAGACTGACAGCAGTACGTGTCAGTCTGCTCGACGTCACAGTCCATTGTCAGGCTACTGTAGGCCTACAATGACTCACGTCCAGGACTGTGCAAGCAGTACCGTGTCAGTCTGTCAGCATACTTTGTAGGTTGTTCACATACTCTCATATAAGTCATAATGTCCCCCCAGGGTACGTGCCGGAACGTACCGCTGGTGGTACGGTCCGTCCTACTCAGATGTACCCGGAACGTCAGGTAAGCCTGTAGCCCACAAGTCCCATCTCGCTTAACAACTACGTCCGTTGTAAGCTCGACAGCAGCTGGCCGTTCAGGTACGTCGTCCCCGGCGACTCTCACCCGTGTCCCACCCGACTGCACCGCGCTCCATTTCTCATGCTGGTGTAACTATCTTGATATGGTTAGGGTAGGAGTAGCTAGCACTCCCTAGACTCGTAGTGAAGAGTAGCGAGGTACGGTCCGGAATATCAGATAGTACCAGGGTACGTTCGCGGTATACCGGACCCGCGTAGCCCAGGGTACAGTCCCGGCCACTGGCCCTGCAATACCCGGCATCATAGACGCCTCTCACGTCAGCTACTGATCAGTGCATCACTGACAATCTGTGATACAAACCATAACGTTATAACCCTCCTCACCTTTCTGGCAGTCCAACGTCCCCATCAATTGTCTAAAAAGTAAAATCGTCATAGCCATCCACCTCCACCATTATATTAGTAAAGACACTGAAGAGAACCTAATCAGAACCTCATTAACTGAAAACATGACTAGTATAACATTAATTTAAAGCTTGTTACGTGAGGCAATCGGAAAACACCCATTCGACTCTCCCGTCATCCTAGAAACAAGTGACGTGAGGCTGCCATACATATCATAGATCATCACTATCAAGTTGTTTATATGATATCGGAGCACATAACATCACCTGATGATGTGGCTCTGATGATAATCTTAACTCTGTATGAAATAGCCAGGACAGGTCCGGTTCCGCTCACTACACTTCCACTTCACGCACTCTAGGCATGTCTTTACACTAATAACGTCAATCAACATTGTACAGCAACTTAAATAGCTATATGGCATGGCAGCTATTTTATTATTCATAGTCTTTCACAACTACTGCATGCCCAATCAAATAACATTTGCTGTTCGATCAAACAGATTGTGCATGGTAAATTCTATGAAAAGGTTTAAAGAATGGAAATTCTAGAGGATGACACATGCCTTAACTAGCTTCAGAATCAGCTTCAATGCATGGCAAAAAATGTCAAATAGTTCGTATAGACATTCTTCGCAGCCCAGTTATTTTACTTTTTCTATGAATAATTGCTCACTATCACTATTATAACTTCTTATTTGTAGGAATCCTACACGCCACTGTAAGCATAAGACCATCCTCCTCCAGGAGTCGGCCATCTCTCGACGCAGTTTTAGCAGGAATCCTGATCGTGAGTCTGAGATTTTGAAGACCACTGGCACCTATCGTATTTCAGCTGCAACCACACTCCCCCTGCTGCATTGTCGACCTCTCACCACCACTGCTAGCGCATTTAGGTTACCTAAAATACATAATAAATAATTATTATTATGTAATGCAGGGCTCGTAGCCTGGATTCCAGAGTGGCTGAAATGAATATTTTTCTGTCCTAATAACCCGGTTGTCTGCTTCTTTCGTGCAGTTCATCCGCAAAATCTAACCCATGTCCATAAAAATAGAGAGCCCACCTTCTAATAAAAACACTTGACTTTCCTCGCTGGGATTCGCTTTGCACGCCAGACCTGATATGTCCCTGCGATTTTTAAAATAACTATCAATACAAACGCAATAAACTATAGACTGATATGAATCATACGATAATAATATAATGATATAAAAGAATACATACTGAATGAACAAGCACATCAAAACCAATAAAAATGCGCATGTTTTTGTCGCGGACCGCCAGCATCATCACCTAGTTTGTATATCATCCCCTATAACTGCAAACTCGCTCAAACGCTAAACCCCTAACCCCTAACCCTCAACCATGCCTGATGTCTAACAGATCTGTATGTTGTTTTTCTCCATTGAGACAGATGTCCGTATGCTCAGCATCTCCATTCTCGACCTGTCCTTCTTCTCTCCATCAAGCGACTTGATGGCTGATTTGAACCGACGTGTTTCTATCCATCACGCCTGTCACTCTTTCTCTTTCTACCTCATGCTCTGCGCTAACTCTCTCGTCCTCCTA